TGCCCTAAGAGTTTACCTGCTCCTTGATTTCTCTTGTAAGTGACACCTAGGGCACTTGCCATCCCTGCTTTACCTTAGAAGTGCCTCTGCCTCAGGGCTTCTGAAACATTATCTGGCCCATAACCCAGCCCTGAACATGCAGTGACAGGCAACAAATAGCATCTGTTTCAAAGAAACACCACCTGTCCCAATGGAAAAATCAAGCATCAAACCATCTCACTTCATCAGAGTGTTTGGTTTCCAGAGCGGAAGAGACAAAACACCATTCTGTCACTAACACAACCTTTTAACGCTCTGTGGGGACCACCCACAGACTGACTGCTGCCAAGCAGACTTGGCAAGTTTTAGAGAACAGTTGGTCCTTAGACAGCCTTTCTCTGACCTTCTGAGAAAGAGGTGGCTGATCTGCCTTGGAAGAGGCTGGAAAAGATCAAATGCCACAGGTGTGGGGAGATCTGGCTGAGTGCAGAGCCAGTGGTGAAGAAGATTTTCCAGGAAGGTCCTTCCCTGAGGCAGGTGCAGTCATTAACGTTTGGAGAACAGCTGCTGAGGACTCGAGAAACACCACCTTTTCAGGGCAGAAGAGAAGTTCCTACCAGCTGGAGCACACTGAGGCAGCTCACGGGAGTACAAACACTTCTGAAGGCACTACCGTCTTCGGAATGCCGGAGCAGTATTTAAACACATTCTCTATGAGTGCAAACAACTCAGAGACAAAACTGGTGTGCGCCTCCAGATCATCTTCCAGCTCCTTTGTAATGGCACCACAAGAAGCCATTCTTGCATTCTTCTGCTCACTTTCCCGTCTGTCTGGTCATTCCCTGGGATCAAATCCCATGGCCAGAGGTTGCTGGAGCACGTATGTAGTGTGACTGTGCCGTTGGGTTTCGTAAGCCTCTTCCTCTTTGATGTTCTGACAAAGATGGGGCTTTTTACTCCTCTAAACCATTACAGTCTTGGAAAAATCACAAGGGAAGTTCTGTCCTATAGGATCGCTATGAGTCAGCATCAACGCTATGGCAGTATTTCCCCCCTCGCCCTTTTTAGCAAACCTTGGGAGAACAAGGCCATTTGGGACAAGGGAAGTAACGGGACAGGGATGGCAAATTGACTGGGTGTGTGTATGAGTGTGTGTGGGTAGAGTGAGGTTACGCATTTTCTGTACCCGTTCTCAATGGTATGCTCCCTGGAACCTCTTGACATTGATCACCAACTATGATCCCTTAGAATACAGAGCTGAGAAGTAAGATCCCAGGGAGAAAAGAGGGGCGTCTCCAAGCCAGGAACTCATGGTTCTCGTAGGCTGGCCACTGCTCTGCTGTTTGTGAATGAGGAAAGTCCCATGGCTTCGGGCAGGAGAATAGGCATTGTGGGAAGCCTGGGCACTTGTGACCATTACTTGGGTATTTCTTGACTTGGAGATTAACTCTCAGTGATCTATATTCGGAACATGTTCATTCTCATGTGTCTTTCCCTTTTTCTTGGTTTCAACGTCAATAAATGGTGCTGTGATGCCTTGTACAGACAGGCAAAGGAAGATAATAGCATTTTTTTCCTTTATTGCAGAGTTGGATAATATTCAGCATTGATTGCAGGAAGAATATGTGGGCATGCAAAGCCCATAAAGACAGCATTCCTACTCAATAGAATGGAGCTTGATGCATTGAAGTGAGTGGCCCTGATTGCCCTTTGCCAGAAGAGTGGTGAGTGGCTGTATGCTGTGGGCTCCAGAAGTCTGAGCTGGTAGTCATTGTTTGGCCTGTATGAATAGGTACAGAGAATCTGGCCTCAGTCCAGTCTCTTGACTTCAGTAGTTTTGACAATCATATAACTTAGCATACAGTTAAATAATAGCCATGGGCTCTGGAGTTAAACTGCCTGGGCTTGAATCCTGACTCCTTTAATTGCTCTGTCCACTCAGTCAGGTAGCTTAATTTTGTCTCTGTTTCCTCATCTGTAAAATGGGTGTATGATAAAGGGATGTTGTGAGGATTATATGAGAGGATGCATATAAGCACGGACTACAGGATGTGTCTTGTAGACAGTCCCTAAATGGTGGTTCTTATTACAGTGGAAAGTTGAGGGTGAGAGGCCCTGTGCTTTAGGTGCCTGCTGCTCAGACATCCAATATTTTATGAGTTGTCAGCTTTCTGCAGGCACCTGCCTATGGAATTGGGTGTCAGACACACTGTTGACTTAGAAAATCAGGTCACCTCTCTGGGCCCAGTTTTCTTAACTTTACCACCAATATTTAGACCAAGTGATGCCTTACAGTGATAAAATGTTGGGCTTATTGTAATACTGCACTTATAAACTTATAAGAACTCATTGTCTACTTTGGCCCTTTTTAGGGTACTATGTATTTCTGAAATGAAAATCACTTTTTGTCAAGCACTGTCTACTAGATCCCCTTCAAACTCTGCCTAAACTTGGACAAATATATATATATATATATATATATTTTTTTTCCCATGAGGGGGAATGTATGCTTGTTTGATAAGCCCCAGGTCATCTGGTTTTCTGTGATTAGGTCACATTCAATTATGTCTACACTTCTATGATATCTTTAGTTCCCTAGTTCTCAAATGATTACTTGAAATTCTTCAATGTGCAATACTCCTTGATCTGAGAATAAGAACGGAATCGTTTTACAAAATCCTTCTCTAAGTCATTCTTCAATCTCAGTTCAAACTTCTCCCCCTGTATGACCACTGACTGGGAACTCTTAGCTGTGTTCATTTCTACTGTGTCCTGTTTTCTTGCCTTGGCGTCTTTGCACATCTTATTTCCCCTCCATGGACTACTATTTTCCCCCCTTCTCCTTACTCCTCCTAGTTAGCATCTATTAATTTCTCATACCTCAGCTTGAAACAGGCTTCTTGAAGAAGCGTTCTCAGTCCCACAACTCCCCCCGCCCACCTCCCATAGGCAAATATGCACCGCGTCTGCTATCCTTGGATGTGTATGGGAAGTCTTCATTGTTTTGCAGTTTCAAGTAAATCAGGTCTCGTTTTTCATCTTGTAATCTTGGATAGAACTCATAATTCAGGATATATATTTTTAATAAAATCTAGAAAATTGCATTGAGATACTTAAAACGCAACACAAACTCACTGCTGTCTATTCTATTCCAGCTCCTAGTGACCCGCTAGGACAAGGGAGACTGTTCCTATGAGTTTCTGAAACTGTAATTTTCCTAGGGAGTAGAAAGCCTTGTCTTTTACTCATGGAGCGGGTGGTGGTTTTGAACAGCTGACCTTGACAATAGCAAAGCTCCTATATTCAAATATTACCTCTATTCACCTGGTACTTTGCACATACATACAATGTCTCTTAAACTTTTTTCTTTTTCAATGATTTCTAACTTTTTATCTCTATATGTGACATTTTGGGAAATTTCCCTCCAATTTTTTTTCTAGTTAACTAGCTCTCTCTTCAATTTTGTCTGATTTTCTGTTTTGCTATTCCATTGATATTTTATATTGATTACTACATTTTTTATTTCTATAAGTTTTCATTGGTAAATTTCCAAATATGCCTGCTCTTTTATGATAGTACCTTTTACAATGTATTTATTTCAACTATGTTTTAGTTTTGCTGCTAATTCTTGCTCAGATATATTATACAAATATTTTAATTTGGATATAATTTATAGTTTTGCCTTGCTTAGAATAATTAGCTTATGCTTTTTACTATGGTTTTGATTAGCCTTTTTATTTTGGGGGCCCCAGGGATTTCCTTACTTTGCTTTGAAGGGATATTTGTTTTACCCTATCTGGCATTTCTAGGTGTTTCATAGTAGGAGTTTTGCTCTATCATACTGCTGTATGGCTAAGTAAATCTCTTCCAGGTCCCCTTTTATAGATTATCATTATACCTGTCATAATTGTCATGAGACACTGTCATGTTTTAATCACATTAATCTGTTCTTTAACACCTGTCTCCCCTACAAGAATGTAGTTCTATGGGGTAGCAGATTATGTCGGTCTTATTCAAAATTGTAGCCCCAGGGCCTACTCCAGTGTTGAGATGTTGTAAGTGCTCACTCTTACTGGAATGAATAAGTGAACTGGAGAGAAAGGTGGTGCTAGGTGCCAGAGAACGCTTCTCCATCATTCTGCAACCATTATATTAAACCTTCTACTTGTCTTTGAATGCTACTGGGATCTCTAGGTTAAATTCCTAAAATGATTTATTCTGTTATTGAAATACTGTCTCACAAGTAACTTCACACTGTACTCTTTTAAGGGCCTTCTATATGCATTATCCCATTGGAATTCACATCCACCAAGAAAAGGTTGGGATAATCCTTTTACAGATGAGGAACCTGCCTAGCAGAGAGACTATGTTTTATCTTTTTTGAATGTAGAGTTCTGAAGTGCTGGACTTGAAAGATGGATAATGAATTCAGGACTACTTTAGTTATTTAGAGTAGATATCAAATCTTCTTTATCTGAAAGTAACGGCTGCTTTGCTTCTTTGCTGAACTGTCTCCTCCTAACACAATCAGTGTCTAGGGAAGAATAGGTGCTTCTGTTGACTATGTTACATGTTTGTAAAATTTCTGCAGTCAGAATCTGAGAACTCCAACTGCTTGATTTTTCATTTGGGTAAAGTGGCTCTGTTTCTTTTGAGGAAACCTCGCAAGCCCACCATTGTCAACGAATCTGGGTTATTTGTGGTCTAATTGGGTGCAGAAAGGTTGAGTAGAGGCTGGGGTATTACAGAGCACATGACAAAGACACAAGTTTTATGGATGCTTCACACACGTGGAGGGATAAGGCGAGGCATGGGCAAGATCACATAGGCAGCAACAGTCGTAGCAAGTTGAGCTTTCTTGGGCCAATTGTCAACCTCAGCGCTGATGGTCTCAGGTGAGTGGATTTTCCCAGGTGTGGCAGAAGGGCCTTCTGGACAGCTCCTATTGTGGCCGAGATGGCAGCTTCTTTTCTGAGAGAAGAGGGAAAGGGCGTACCAAGGAAGCAAATGATGCTACTTACCTCAGGGCAGACCCCTTGGGTGTTGCAATGCCATAGCCTTTGGAATCCAAGTTACCTCCCACCTTCATGGTGTCACAGGGCTTCCGCTGCTCAATATACTCGTTCATAGTGGATTCCAGGAGGTAGGCATACTTGCCCTTGGATTTCCTCACTCGGATCATCCCTTCCTCTGTGGTTCGCACAAAAACGGATGGTTCTGCTGATTTCATGTATGTCCACATCTTCTCAAACACAGCGATTTTAGACCTCTGACAGGGGATAGAAACAAAGCCCCAATTCAGTGCTGCCTCCGTTTGGAATTAGGGTCGGCACACACATTAATGAAGATCCGAGTGCAGCTTGATCACACATTCATGAGCGAGATTAGTTCAGGAAGAAACAAATTATGAGTGATTGCAAAATAAGAGGCTCTAATTAGTACCACTAGGCTCTAAAGTACAAATATCTTGCAAATAGAGAAGGAACAGTATAGATCAAAATCTTATAATCACTACTGAGTAATTACATTCATCCTAAATATGGGAGAGTTAAGAAAGAGGGGCCTTATCTGCCTTTTCAAGACACCAGAGGGCCTACCTATTGTTCCAAAAGACCATATTTATATAGCTCTGATGAGTGGAAAGTGGAAAACCAGTGGTGTCTGATTTCATTCCTGGAAGAAATTTCTGGATCATGAGCACCAAGGTCCCGCCATCCGGATCATAAGACCTGATCTCAGGATAGAAATTGTCCAAAAAATGAGGAGCTGATGCCAAGGGCTTAAGTGGTAAGCAAATGTTTTGAGAATGTTGAGGGCAACGAATGTACAAATGTGTTTTACACACTGGATGTATGTATGGATGGTGATGAGTTGTATGTGCCCCAATAAAATGATTAAAAAAACAAAAAACAAACAAAAAAGAAGTTGTTGTCCAATATCGCAATTAATTTGTGGTCAAATATTGCCAACGCTTTACATTTTGAAAACCTCCAAATCTAGCCATACTGCTTTCTTTGTTTGTTTCTGAACACACCTTGGGCTGTCTTTGCATTGGGGCATTGATTAGGCTGTTTACCTGACATGCTGTTTCCGTCCAGCCAGTCTTCTCCGGACAACTTCTATGTTTTCTGAGACTACCTAAATTCCGAGGGTCCTGGTTCTCACATTTTAGTGGCTTCAAGTATGGCCAGAGATTCTTGAGTCAGCAAGTTTGGAGTAGGGCCCAGAGTAAATCTTTTCCAGAAGCTCCCCTGGTGGTGAATCTGCTTGAGAAAGCCTGGGTGGTACACCACTCTGAGGGCTGTTATTCCCATGGGCACTCACCAGATGGCCAGGCTAGACTGCTAGGATTTCAAGTCATCCCTTCTGGTGTGTTGCTGTGAGTAATTCCAACCCATAACCACCAGGAAAACAAAACACTGCCCAACTTGGACTAGTCTCACAATTGTTATTTTTGAGCCTATTCTTGCCATCCCAGAGCCCATCCATCTCTTTGAAGGTCTTCCTCTTTTTGTGCTGCCCCTCCACATTACCAGCATGGCATCCTTCACCAGGGATATATTTGGAAGCTATCTGAGGGCATGGGCTATGTTCAGATTCTTCACGGAATCTAATCTAATACATTGTACATAGTAAGTCTTTATGGCCTGCAATTCAGGGCCACGATCCAACTGTCTCATCTAACATACGCATTCTGTGATTTTTCTCAAAAGTTTGAACTATTTTGTGAATACTAGACTTTGGCTTTTGAAAATGCTTTATACATTGACAAGTGTTAAACACATAGGAGGGACTTTTGTTTTAAAGACCGTTATTATTAGAATTATGCTGTTGTTAAATGCTGTGAGGTTGATTTGGACTCCCCATGGCCCTACGTAGCAGAGTAGAACTGCCTCATAAGGGTTGCAGACTGTAATATGTATGAGAACAGTTGGCCAGGTCTTGTTCCCATAGAGTGAGTGGGTAGTTTGGAAATGCCAACCTTTTGGTTAGCGGCCAAGTGTAACGGTGTACCCCCAAGGCTCCTACAATCATTGTAATCTAGTAGCTTATATGGAGACTACTGAATTTTTTGGTATAAAATTATTATTTTACATGTCCTATATCATTTTTCTCTGAATTCAAGTTTCAGGTACAATTCTTTGATATTATTTCTAGAGTTGGTAAGCTATTGATACGAAATTCAGTTGTCATTTGAGCCAGTGATCTATAGAGATATGTGGAGCCCAGGAAAAGTCTAGCTCTCAAGGGAAAATTGATGAAAATAGTTACTGAGGATTTCCAGGAGGTATTGAATTGAGTGGATCTTAATTAATTTTTAAAAAACTATAATTAGCTAAACTTGGTAATTTGTTTTTAAATACAGTTTATGATTTGAAAAGGATACTAGAGAAGACCAGGATTTACTAGTAACCCAAGGTTTGGAGCTGGTATTTTCCTTTTCTATGAAGCCCTGGTGGTGTAGTGGTTATACATTGGGCTGCGAACCACAAGTTCAGCAGTTTGAAACCACCAGCAACTCCTTGGGAGAATGATAAGGTTTTTTACCTCTGCGACTTTGACTTCAGAGTCAAAGTCTCTGAAGTCCACAGGGACAATTCTACCCTGTCCTACAGGGTCGTTAGGAGTCAGCTTCGATTTGATAGCAGGAAGTTTGGGTTTTTGGTAATGGGTCTTAGTTTTCCCATCAGGGCCACAGCAATTCTCCATGGTGACTTTTAAGGATTGTGCTAGCTTTAAATTTTTTTTTCTTTTTGGAATGAAGATAAATCATTTAAACAACAACATCATTATGAGACTGAGGAGAGAAGGGAGAAAAGGGAGGGAGGATTCTTAGGGAAGGAAGCATGCAGAACCAATTGTAGCATCTACATCATACTTAATATTCCCTCCTGGGAAAGGGGAAATGTATAAATTCAGCAGTGGCCAGATTTGCAGATGATCTTCCAGGCACAAAAGCAACGAAACACTCAGCAGGGCAATCACCAGATGCAATCTGACTTGACAGGATGGACCCCGCTGGGGACTGCGCTGCTGACCGTCAGAGCCAAAGAGCCCCTGGGCTGTGGTATACAGAGAATGAATGAGGCTGCACTCATGGCCACTTGGAACCCTGATCAGGACAATCTAATCTCCAGGAATGGGAAGGGAGGATGAGTGGCAGGTACGATTGGATGCATACTCAGGGTATTTGTTCTTGGATTTCTCATATCATCTGTAGCTCCCAAGGCCCTTCTCACATCTTAATTAAACTGTTGATGGAGGATTAAGTGACTCGTCTTTCAGGTGCGATTGAGACCTAAAGCCAGGTTTTTCAGAGACTGGGTTAGAAGAATTCCTATATTACCGTTTCCTCCTTCTGCCTACAGAGGTGGTAGGTGATGTTGTCTCTCTACCCTCCAAGGGCCTGATGAAGTCATTCTCAGGGTCAGAGTCACAGGGATAGGAGTGCTCACAGAACCCATGTTATTTGAAAGGATCAGGTAGCAGACACCAAAGAACAAAAACCATCATTGTGTGATCACCTTCCCCACATAAA